ACAGCCAGATAGACAGACAGATGGATGAGCACATACATATGCACAGACAAAAGCCTTGACAGGCAGCTATTGTGCACAGTTAAGAGCGCTGCAGAGATCTTTCTATATATCAAAAATAAATATAAAAAATATTTTTTTTTCTGTGGCTGCGCATTGAAAGGAGCTGCAGATACATAGACAGGCTATATGCATGCATATATATAGAGCTATATAGCTGGCTGTATACAGCAACAACTATGAATCATGGTAACTGCTCAACTGTTGTTGTTGCTGCTGCAACACATAAGCAGCAGACGACGAAGCAGCAGAAAAACATGAAAAAGGCAGCAAGGATTACGCACACACAGAGGCACAAAGAGAGCAGTCACATGTGTGTGTGTGTGTGTGTGTGTGTGTGTGTCTGTGTGTCTACTGTCTTCCAGCTATCTTCAAGACACACACACACGCATGCACTGGCAAGCAAACAATACAAAGGTACACAATTTCTACCTGGGCAGCGACGTCGTCGTCGATCGAAATCTCTGCCTTGCCGAAAAATTAAAATTACAGATGGTTGTTGCTGTTGTTGTTGTTGTTGTTGTTGTTGTTGTTGCTGTTGCTGGATGAGCATATGTACAGGAAACCAGTTTTGATGTTCAACAAACAAACCGCGTAAGAAAAACGCACAGCGAGAACAAATGCGGCAACAACGGCAGCAGCAACAACAACAGCCAAAGGGCAGAAGCAGCAAGTAGAAAACTGCACTGAGAGAAATGCCAGGGCAAATGCTGTTTCATTTAGCACAATCCAAGAAAGCTCCAAGCACACGAACAGTGAGAGAGAGAGAGGGGTTGAGGAAGAGAGGTGGAGAAAGAGAGAGGTAAACAGAGATATATATAAGATGCGACTAGACCGAGGTAGAATGAAGTTAAGGCAAGTGACTAAGTCACGTCTATAATGAATCTTATAGCATTACAGCAATATACATATTTTTCTCTGAGTCCTTAGACTGCGCATCTGCCTTTCTCAAAGTTCTTCCATTAAGAGCGAGTGAAGAAGGGAAGAGAGCGCACAGCAAGCTAAGCCATCAAACGTTTAAGAATAGCGCGACAAAGCAGAAGCGCTCAACTCTAGTGCTGAAGCAAGAAATATTGTTGAGAAATGTTTTTTTTTTTTAGTTGAAACAAAAGAAAATGCCTAAAAACTGAAAATATTTAAAAACAAAATTCAAAAATGAAAAAATTTCTATAATTCTAGACATATTTAAATAAAAAACAATGAAAAAAATATTTTAAAAATAAAAATATATTTTTAGAGCTGGCTCAGAGTACAAATAATAAAAAAAAAATATATATATATATATATAAATTATATAAATTATATAATATATAAATTATATAATATATATAATATATATAAATAAATTATAATATTTTTAGGGACTTAAACAAGGGAAAATCAAAACCATAAATATACAGATACATATAAATATATATATATATATGAATTGAGAATTTAGCTGAGTTAGCTGTATATATTTTTTTGCAGTGTACAAACGAAGACGACGACGACGACGACGACGCCGTTGTATGTTATGATGACATAGCCATAGTCTGCCGCTGCTGCTGCTGCGCAGGCGCTCAACTTCAACTTAAACTTCAACTTCAGCTTCGGCGTCGCGTCGCGTTGCTTGGCTTCGCCGTTTGCGTTTGCGTATCTTTGAGATACATTCGCTGCTTGCTGCTTGCTTCGTGCTGCTGCCGCTTGCTGTGGCGCGCACTTTTCGTTTGTCTCTTCTACTTTGTCTTTGTCCGAGTGTATGTGTGTGTATTTTTTTGGCTATTTACTGCTGTTCCTGCACACACACAAGGAGACCGAGAGAGGGAGAGAGCGAGAGAGACAGAGAGGGAGAGAGAGAGAGGCAGCTGGCAACATGTGTGCGTGTTATGTTGCTGGCGTTGTCTTTGGTTTTCATTTTGGTTTTTTTTTGTTTCTTCGTTTTTAGCATTTGCCAGATACAGATACAAAGATACTTTGCTTATGATTTGTTGCTGAGGCACTTAGATGTCGCCATAATGACAGTTAACACAAAACTACCAATAGATATATATATATATATATAGAGAGAGAGAGGGGGAGAGGGAGAGGTAGTTAAAGAGAGAGCAAGATCTAGAGCCTAGGCAAGCAGCTCAAGCTTTGCAGCGCATTTATCCTGTCAAAATTTGTATGCCCAATAAACACACACACACACACACACACCTATATATATATATAGCTATATATATATAGTATATGCTTGCGCCTGTCTGCGTACATATCTTTCTTTTGGACACAATCAACGGCGCATCGCTAAAATTCGCCTTGCCTCAATTTGCCTGCGTCTCTCCACTTTCGAGACTCGAGAGAAATCCAAAAAGAAAAAAAATAATAATATTTAAACACACGCACGTAATTTCTGTGGAACTAGCAACAACAACAAGAACAGAAACTGAATAAGCAGAAACTGAAGAGAACAACACAATAAATATAAAAATAAAATTCAACAAAAATAATTAACAAAATTAACAAGAACTGAAAAAAGCTGAGCGACATTTAAATGCCCTTATCATATGGCTATATATATGTATATATATATATATAGCTTCAATCTTAATTATATAGCAGCGCTCTCTACTCTCAAAGATCCTAACTCACTGATCTAGTCTTCAGCTAAATAGTTGAGTTCGCTGAGTTAGGACTGTGTCAGAGCATCAACTTGAGAAGTTGCTGAAGATCTATATATATAAATATATGTTATCTAGATATAATAGCTGTCTTCATAAGGCAGCAACTTTTTCCTTTGGCAACGATTAGAACTTATGCACTGAGCGAAAATATATTGCACGTTTTACTCTACACATCTAATATTTGCTCTAAATATAACAGTTATTTCTGTTGCTGCTGTACATAGACTTTATGGCCGCATCTCTCGCGCTCTCATATGAAATTTGTTCTCAGTGTAGTCTGTATACCAAGTATATAGAATATAGATGTATTAAATATACACATTCTGTTTCCAAGGGGACCACCCCCTTTCGAGAGGCTACCTCAAGCTCAGTACGCATAGATCTGATTAAAAATAAATTAAATAATTTACTGAAAAAAAAAACAATAATAATATGAAGTAAACTAAAATTGTACACAAAAAAATAAAAAGAAATTAAAGTTTTTTTTGGCTTGAAACATTTTCAATAATTTATTTTGCATTTGTTTTCAGATCTTGGCAAGGAAAGCGTTGCTTTTTCTGCTGCTGCTGCTGCTGCTGCTGCGACTTTCTGCATTCCTTTTTTGTCTTTTATCATGGTTTTTTTGTTTAGTTGCTTTTCTTCTTTGTTGTTTTCTTTCGCTTTAGTGTATATCATATGCATTTAGTAGCTAAATATATATATAGTTAAACAAATTTGTTGCGCTAATTACACAAAAAAAAAAAAGTTTAAAAATAAAAAATTATTGTATAGACTAATTAAAATATTTATATATATATATATATATGTATGCGTGTGTGTGTGTGTATGTATAAGGAAAAAGTTGGAAACATAAAGCTAATGGCAAATTATTAAAGATTTGTGTTTTTTTTTTTAATTTTTTGAGTATTATATAAGGCAAATTATAAATTTAAAATAATAAAAAAAAAAAAATAAAAAATAATTTTTGTTTTGTTTGTGTCTTTTTGATGCTTGTTTATTTGTGGACTTACAAAGCAAATGCATAAATTAGAAATTAATAATAAATATAATATATAATACATATTTATATATATGTATATATATAATACTATATATATATATATATATATATATAAATATATATGTATGTAAGCAATAACTTTGTTTAATTATAAGTTTAATCCCTGATATTTGCATTTTTTTTGTATTTGTGTTTGGCGTTTTGTAGGCTAAAATATAATATATATATATATATACATATATATATATATATTTATATATGTATATATATATATATATATGTATATATATATAAACATATATATGGCATTTCTTTGTGGTTTGCAGGCTGACAGAAAATAAACAACAATTGCATTTAAATTAATTTAAACAAAAAAATATAAACAATCAACTGCATATCCTGCAGATCGTATAGCATTATATATATATATACTCTATATATACACATATATATACATATATATATATATATATGTTGTATATAGTTTGCCCTGATTTGTGTTTGTTTTCTTGTTGCATTCTTTAAGCGTTTCTTCTTTCCTTTCCTTCGTTTGTTTTGTTTTGTTTTAGTTTTCTTTGAGGTATGCACGGCCTTAAACAATTAAGTTTACATATAACAAAATAAAAATACAAATAATAATAATAATAATTGGAAATAAAAATTACAAAAAAACACTAAGACAAATAATTAATTTATAATTAATAATAATAATACAATTTAACATAAGTTTTGTATTTCTTCAATTAAATTAAATTTGCTGCTACAACAATTAGGAATTTCGAATACAAAAAAAAATTAATTATATATATATATATATACATATATATGTAGGTATATATAGCATATATTATTATAGGTATAGATTGTTTCCTTTTTCATATGGCAAAGTTTTGTTTTTGTCTTAGTTTTTGTTTTATAACAGCTGTGCTGAGTGGGCGTGTCTTCAAATGCCGAAGGCTTTTGCTATCAACTTTTCAAATTTGTTTTAATTTAAAAAAAAAAAAAAGAAAATAAATTCAAGAAATGAGTTTGTTTACTTTGGGAACAACAATTTATTGCAGCAAGGCGCAATAAAAATTTGTTAACAAAAAACTTGTTTTTTTTTTTAATATTAAAAAAAAATGGAATTTAAAAACATGTGAAAAAGGCTAAAATATTGTTTTGTTTAAATATAAATAATTTTTGTTTTGTTTTTTGTTTTTTTTTTTTTAAAGCGTTTTGCATTTGAAGACCAGCCAGCCCCTGAGTAACCCCTCCCAAGATCCCAACCCCAACCCCAACCCCCTAACCCCCTATGCCCCACATATATCTCTCAATATATATATATAAATATAGATATATCTTCCCGTTCAATACATTTCTATATCCTTTTCAATAATATGAAAGTCCTCCGTGAATTCCTCCTCGTACTCATTCTTAATATCAACAAATTCGTTTTTAATCAAATGATGCTCGCCGCTCAGCAACAGTTGCTGGCGCTGCTGCTGATGTTGCTGCTGTGCATCATTATCGTCTTCGTCGTCGTCTAGCAAGCTATCGTCGTCAGCAGCAACATCGTCAGCTGTTGTCCTGGCTGTAGTAGCTGCAACTGTTGCTGCTGCTGCTTTAGTTGCTGCCGTTGCTGCTTTGGCAGCGGCAGCAGCAGCAGCAGCAGCAACAGCTGCCGCCGCCTTTTTGCCAACAACACGCGGACGATTGTGCGTCTCGAGATGCTTGCGCAGATGATCCTTGCGACAGAAGCCCTTCTCGCAAATATCGCACATATGCTGCTTCAGACCCGTGTGGATGGCCTCCACGTGTCGCCGCAAATCGGTTTTGTGATGGAATTGCTTTGGACAGAGCTCGCACTTGTGCGGCTTATCTTGGGTGCGATGGCGGCCCAGATGCGTGGTGTACACATCCTCGCACTGGAAACGCTTGCCGCACTTCTGGCACCGATAGGGATACTCACCGGAATGGAAGCTCTTGTTGTGCTGCGTGAGATAACAGTTTTTGGTGAACTCCTTGTCGCATTCCAAGCACTTGATGCGCCCCGATGGCAACGTGGTCGAGTGCGGCGATGTTGAGCCGATGCTGCTGTTGCGACGTCGCTTGCTGGGCGGCCCAGCAACAGTTGCTGTTGTTGTCGACGAGAGTGCAACAGCAGCACGTCGCTTTTTGGGCAACACAGCAACAGTTTGCTGCTGCAGCTGCAGCTGCTCCAACTGCTGCTGCTCGAGTTGCTGTTGCTCAATATGTTGCTGTTGCTGTTGTTGCTGCTGCTGCTGCTGCTGCTGCTGATGTTGTTCGAGTTGCTGCAACTGATATTGCTCGTATTCGTGCTGCTGCTGCTGCTGTGCTATGAGCGATACCATGTCCAGCTCCAAGCCAGGCGTTGCACGCGAGCTGCTCACTGTGGGCGAATATGGAGTGGGCGTGGCCAAGAGCGTTAAAGTTGTATGTTGCTGCTGTTGTTGTTGCTGCTGCTGCTGCTGCTGTTGCGCCTCCTGCTGCGCCTGCAATGCATTTGTCAACGTATGCACCGGCGGCAAATCCCCCTCCTGCGGCGACCGTTGCGCAGCCACCGAATAGGGCGAAAGTGGTGCATAGGGCGCAAAGAGCGAGGCAGCCGGCATCAGCTGCAATATCTGATGGCCATCGCTGGTCGTGTAGGTGTCATAGTGGCCCGGCTCGTTACCAATAATAGTGTGATAGCTCATTGTGTGCTCCAGCACCGGCGGCAGTTGCTGATAGCATGGCAGGATGTTGTTGCTGCTGTTGCTGCTGCTGGAGATGTTGCTGCTGCTGTTGTTGGAGATGTTGCTGCTGCTGCTGATGATGTTGCTGCTGTTGCTGCTGCTGGTGATGATGTGTTGCGGCGGCCCCGGCGATGCTGCTGCTGCTGCCCCCACCGTTGCTGTTACTGCTGTGCTGCTGATGTTGTTGCTGCTGCTGCTGCTGCTGTGACTGTGGCTGTGGCTGCTGTTGCTGTTGGGCGTATGGCTGCTGGCCGTACTGCTGTTGCTGCTGCTGTGACTGCTGCTGCTGTTGCTGTCCACCAGCAACAGTTGTTGCGGCTGCAGCGGCTGCGGCAGCGGCGACAGCGGCTGTGGTGCCAGGTAATGCTGCTGCTGCTGCTGCTGCTGCATAGTGGTGCATTCCATGTCCATATTGATGTGCGTGTGGGTGGTGGGCGTGGGGATGGCCATGGGCATGGGCGTGTGCATGGGCGTGTGGGTGTGCATGGGGATGGGCGTGTGGATGGGCGTGGTGGTAATAGTGACCGGCAGCAACGGCTGCTGCGGCGTGCTGATGCTGCTGCACTGCAGCATATTGCTGTGCTGCTGTTGCATATCCAAAGCCAGCATGTTGTAGTCCATTGTTATAGGCGGCAGCAGCGCTGCCATAGGCGGCGGCGGCAGCAGCGGCTGGGTGCGCGAGAAATCCATTGCCTGCAACAGTTGGTGGTGGTGCGATTGGTGTTGCTGCTCCTGTTCCAGTTGCTGCTGCTGCTGCAGCGGCTGCAGCTGCTGCTGCTGCTGCGGCAGCTGTTGCAGTTGTTGGTGGTGGTGGTAAATAATAGGCGGCGAGTTGCTGTTGCTGCTGCTGCTGTTGTTGTTGCTGTTGCTGTTGTTGCTGCTGATGGTGGTGCTGGTGGTGGTGATGGTGGTGCTGCTGTTGCTGTTGCTGCTGTGATAGGGCCGCGACAACAGATAGCTGACCTGTTCCTGTTGCTCCAGTGGGTGATGTTGCAGCAAGACGTGCTGCTGCTGTTGCTGCTCCTCCAACTGCTGTTGCTGCTGCTGCTGCTCCTCCTCCTGCTCCTCCATGACCATTGCTGAGTTGCTGCTGTCCTCCATTTGCTCGACTTTTATAGTTGTGGCTATTGTTGTTGTTGTGTTGTTGTTGATTGTTGTTATTTTGTTGTTGTTGTTGTTGTTCAGCAGGCCCCTCATTTGGGAGGACGGCATTTGTGTGTTGTTGTTGTTGTTGTTGTTGATTGGGGCGGAGGGACCTGCTAGCCCGTTTGGGTGACCGTTCAAAACGGAATTGTTGTTGTTGTTGCTGCTGCTGCTGTTGCTGCTGCTGCTGTTGTTGCTGTTAGCATGCTGTGGTGAAGCGTTTGTCGTCGATTGCACTTGTTGCTGCTGCTGCTGCTGCTGGATGTTGTAATGGCCATGATAGTGGGCGTGGCCATTGGCATAACCATTGCTGGCAATCAATTGTTGCTGCTGCTGCTGAGCGGTGGGCGACGGCGAGGCCGAGTACTGCGACATGGCGGCGCCCACCTGCACGCCCGTCGCTCCGCAAACACCGCCGCCACCTCCTCCATAGTCCGGCGGACTTCTCGGCGGCTCCGGTGCTGGCGGTTCCTGTGTGGCAGCTGCAGCTGCTGCTGCTGCCGCCGCCGCCGCCGCTGCTGCTGCGGCAGCTGCAGCCGCATTGCCGCGTCGGCTGGTCTTCGTAACGGGATCACGTGCAGGATGATGGTGTGCGGAAATGGGCAGCGTTGCCGGATCCGGCTGGCCGCTCGACTTAACCGCATTCTTATGCAGCGTCGTATTGTAATGGCGCTTCAGATGGCCAGAGCTGGTGAACCACTTGTTGCACGCGGTGCAGTTGTAGGTCTTGGGACGACGCGCCTCGTTCGACTTCCAGGTGGCCGCCTTGGCTGTTAGACTGTTTGCCGGCAGCACAGAGCTGGAGCTGGGCGGCTCAAAGCCGCGATATGCTGTGCCAGCGTTGCCACCTACAGCGTTGCCATCTGTTGTTGTGGTGCTCGGAAACTCGGCCGGGCTGGTGGTCACCTCCGCTGCAGTCGGGTCAAAGGACTTATCCACATAGTGCTGCGAATCGGCATATTCGGATTTGATCAATGCATATTCCTGCTTCACCACCGTCGACGGATGGTACGGCGACTGCTTGGGCGAGCCGTAGTAGTGCGGCGATTTCTCTAGCAGCGGCTGCATGTACGCGGGCAGACCCTCGGTGGGCGTCGCCTGTTGCTCCCAGCTGTGCAGCGCACGTTGCTGCATCGATTGCATCGAATGCAAGGGATCGGGCAGTGCCAATGGCAAGCCGGCAACAACAGCGTCGTGTTGATGCAGCTGTTGGTGCTGTTGTTGCTGTTGGTGCTGGTGGTGGTGCTGTTGCTGCTGCTGTTGCTGCAACAATTGCTGATGATAGACCATCTTCTGTGAGTCCAGATCGAGCAATTCACCGCTGGCTGCCGCCGCCGCTGCTGCTGCTGCGGCCACCGCCGTTGGCGTCGGCATGGGCATCTCCTCCTTGATGTAGGGCGAGCTGGCATAGCCGCTGCTCCCGTATGGCGATTCTCCGTGCACATTGGCGATGTGCTCCTGCAATTCCGATTCATTTGTGTTCAAGATGCCGCACTTTTTGCACTGCAACTTGCAGCCGCCTCCCGGCGAACTGGGCGTGGCACTGCTCAATTGCAGATGCGATGATGTGGAGGTGGGGCTGCTGCTGCTAACCACTCGCGGACTCATTGCAGCAACAGTTGCTGCTGCGGCCGTTGTTGTTACTGCTGCCGCTGCCGTTGCTGTGGCATCTTCTACTGCAGCAACAGTTGCGGCTGCTACAGCCGTTGGCAGCACTGACGTCGGCTGCTGCAAATACGGATGATAGCGCACTGCAGAGGCTTTACTGTAGTCCACGTAGGCGCCGCCATAATCAGCTGCGCTCTGCTGCTGCTGCTGCTGTTGCTGATAGAATTGTTCATAGCTGTTGATGTAGCTGCTTGCCGCATAGCTCTGCTGCTGCTGCTGTTGCTGTTGCATGTCGCTGGCATAGAGGCTGCCATAGAGTTGCTGCTGCGGTGGTTGCTGTTGCTGTTGCGCTGCTGCTGTGTACATGTGGTGCGTTGCATATGGCTGATGCGTTATGCCCGACGCTTGCTGCTGCTGCTGTGCTTCAACAGCCATCAGCGATTGTTGCTGTGTTGTGGGCTGCGGCGTGCCTGGCTGATTATCGCTGGAGTCGGCGGCGGCGCTGATTGTTGCATTCGCATTCGGCGTTGCTGGCGCGCTGCCACCAGCAACAGTTGCTGCTGATGCAGTAGTTGTTGCTGATGCTGCTGCTGCAGTTGTTGCTGCTGCTGCTGCAGTTGCTGCTGTGCCGCCGCCGCCGCCGCTATCAGTTGCGCCGCTACTACTGCTGCTGCTGCTGCTGGCAGCGAGCGCCTCTGCCGCGTGCAGTGGCGGCATTTCACTTTTTATGCTCGCCATTAAACGTCGGCGTTGGCGTTTGCGTCGGCGTTGTCGTCGCGCTGCTGCTCATGTGGCTTGCTTCTTAATTGTTGCTGTTGTTGCTGTTGTTCTTGTTGCTGCTTCGACAGCTGCTTCAGATGTTTTTATTTATTTTGTAGTAGTTGATATTGTTATATTTTTCGTTGGCTGCTTTGCCGCTCGTTTTGGTTTTGTGTTTTGTTTATTTTTTTTTTTGTATTTGTACTGCAAAAATAAATTCGAATTTTAATTTAACAATTATAACAAAGCACACACACACACATGTACATGCATATGCACTACTTGCGTTCTCAGTTAACGGTGCTGCTTGAAGAGCGTAGCACAGTACAAAAGAGAATGAAAGAGAGTTAAAAATGATCACTTAGCAGCAGCAACGGCAGCAGAGCTCTACGCAGCCGCAGCGTCTGTTACTTTGCTTTGCATTGTTCATCGAAAAAAAAATAGCAAAAAAAAAAAACAAATACAAGCATGCAAAATGTGCTGCGACTTTTTTCATTTGCATTTGCATTTGCATTTGCTTTAGCAGCTGTTAAAGCTGAACTTAACAGTGCGCTCTGGTTTAGGCATGCGACTGCGTTTTACTCTGTTGCTGCTGCTGTTGTAGCTTTCACATTTCTTTATGTTCATAGTGTTCGTATACTTTTGCATTCACATACACACACACTTGCAAAAAAAATGGCAGTATATATATTTGTATATATGTATGTATACAGCTACATAACAATTATGAATTTGATTGGAAAAGACGATGATGATGACGATGATGATGGGCTGCTGATGGTCATGATCATCGCCATCTTCGTCGCTGTTATTGTTGTTGTTGCTGTTATTATTGTTGTTGCCGTCGTCGTTGTTGTTATTGTTGGTTTTGCTTACTTATCTGCGCCTTCGCTTTGTGCAGTTTTTGTGTTTAGCGGCTTGCTGCTCTCTCTCTCTTCTCCGTTTTCTTCTTCTGCTTCACCGAAACACAAAACAACTGAAGAATAATAACATAAAAAAAAGACCGAAACGAAGAACTTGAAGATTTCTTGGGATGTTGACTTTTTTCTTTTTTTTACTTTTCGAATTTAGAATTTTGATTTTGCGAGCGCGAAAAGAGTTTCGTTTCGCTTTCGTCTGTTGTTCGCCGGTTAGTTCTTTTTTTGATCGCTTCCTTTTAGCATTTGATTTTCGTTTTCATTCTTTTGGTAACTTTACATTTTGTTCACTCCACGATCACTTGAGAATATCCGTTAGATTTGTTTCTTGTTTCTTTTTAACTGCAGTTGAACAGAAAAAAATATTTACGAACACAATGCAAAAACAATACAAAACGCGTCAATTATTTGATTAACTTTTTATTAGTGTTTTTCTTTCGTTTTTTTCTCGTTTTTCTTTAAGTCCGAAATAGTTTTTTTTGCCGAAAAGTGTTGCCAAAAATTTGTTGTTGATTTTTGCCGTATGTTATATTTTTTTATATATTTTTTACATGTACAAAGAAAATGAAACAAAAAAGGGCGCTAAAAGCTAAAATAGCCGCTCCGCTCCGTTCACACGCTTCGTCGCTTATTCGCTCGTGTCCTTCTTTCTGCTACGGCGTTCCAAATACAAATGACGGAACGGAATTGTGTTTCCAAATACAAATGACCGACGTGCATGCGGCATTCTGGCAGCGGCAGCGGCAGCAATAGCAGCAGCAGTCGTAGCAGCAGCAGCGAATACTTACGCACACACGCACACATATGCGCACATAACAGAAGCAGCAGCAGCAGCAGCGCAGTCGCTGCTGGGCTGGCGTGCGTGTGCGCTTGTGTGTGTGAGTGTGCGTGCGCTATGTACAGCAACGACGACAACAACAGCAACAGCAGCAGCGGCAGCGCTTATGTGCCGTGCGTTTTGTGTTTTTGCTGACGTCGCCGTCGCTGCTTTCGCTGTCTCTTTCTGTTGCTGCATTTGTTTTTGCTTTGCCAACGCCGGCGCTGTTTTTGCATTTTGCTGTTGTTGTTTTCTTTCAACTTTTTTTTTGCATTTGGTTTGCTTTTATTATTTATTTACTTTGCTTTACGAAGGCAATTTGGCCATTTCTTTGCGATGATGCGGCCCCAAAAATAGTGTTCAAGCCCGACTTGGACCAACTAACCCATTGTAACTCGGCTTGTAGACTAGCCAGGCAACTGAAACAAATTGTTTTGGTTTAGTTTTGATGAGTTTTGTAATTCTTTAGCGATTCGTTGCATGGGTTCGTAACAAGGCGTTCAAGAAATGCGAAAAGAACTTAAAAAGAAAAGAAATGAAAAGTTCAGCAACAGCTGTTTCCATTGTTTGGCAGGTAGTTCGATCTGATTAAATTGGACAGCTTTATTAGGCCACATTCCTGCTCTATTAGCCAGCTTGACTCACGCCTTGCCTCTGACGAGAAATCGCATACACGTTCACCTCACACTTTTAGCCTAGTTTCCGTTGATTCTGTTGTTGTTGGGTCTCGTAAAACTTGTCAACGCTTTAAAATTAATAAACTCAACTTTTATGCAGAGCATAAAAAATACATATAAATTCATACATACATACGTACAAGTAAAAAGTTAGAGCGAAAAACTAAAAATAGATGTGCGAAGGGTTCGACTTCGAACTCGAAGTTTTTTTGTCTTTTTCATCTTTTTTTTTGGGCTGGGACGAATGAAAATGCCCAACAGTATTTAAAAATCTCGTAAGCCAAATGCCAGCTAATGGGGCTCAGCTACAGATACAGCTACAAACACGCATACTCTCTGTGTTTCTCTCCCTCCCTTTGCCCCTGGGCTGCGTGGGCCTTGAGGAAGAGTTGAGAGCGTGGAAGGCACGCCGAAAATTTACATACATGATTGTCATAAAAAATCAGCAAGCAAATTGTCAAATCCCTAAACTGACAATAAAACAATAAAGAAGACGACGCCGAAGACGTCGACGCACAGCGAAGAGGAAGAGCCAAAATAGGGGCAGAGCAAAAAAAAAAAAATGAAAACAAGCTTTACAAATCTCTGCATGCGTATGTATGTGTGTGTTTTGTATACCGTGGGCTAAGAGCAACTGCTTAGGGTCAAAGGATATTTGCGCGACATTTGATTATTTATTTAAGAAGGAAGCAACATTTAAATTGAGCTAATTCGCAGGGACTTGTACTTAAAATCAACTAATAAATGCATATATATATGTATATATATATATAGTTGTTGATTCATGAATACTGTGAAGAGGTACCACTGTATCAAATCTAGTCCTACAAATGCTAATTAAATGTTATATACGATCGTGAATCTTTATTGTATATAAATTAACTGCAACGCAGTCGCGTTCAAGACAAGGCCTTGGAGCAGCGGCAAAGAAATTTGTAGAAAAAGCAAAAAGTAATTACAAGAGCAGCGCAACGGCAGCTCGTGAAAAAGAGCTGAAAGCTGCGTGCGTTACGTGTGGAGGGGTGGGTGATCTTAGACCTTCTCTCTTAGACAGCTGATGCCTCAACCGTTGCTGCAGCCGGCTCAAGTGTGTGCAGCGGGATTAGGCTGTTTTATAGCGCATTTATGACACGCAACAGTTGCGAGAGCGCTGGCGCAGGCGCAGGTAGAGTCGCCTAACTCAACTCTAATTACAAGGTGCATGCGTGTGCGTGTGTGTATGTGTGTGTTATGCTACGTCGGGGCAGATGCCTTGCGTGTCAGCGTCAATCACAGCTAGCTAGTCCTTAATGCGTGTCCAGTGTCCAGCTCTCTTTCTCTCCCTCTCTCGTGGTCTCTCTGTGTGCATGGCAGTTAATGACTTTTTAATTGAGCGCGTACAGCTGTCATTGTCAGCGCCGTTACTTTTTAATTAAGGGAGAGTGAGAGAGCTAGAACGAGTGCGAGGGCGCCAGCGGGTGTGAGAACAAACAAACAAAACCTTAAGCCGACGTATCGCCCAGCTTCAACTTCAGCTTGAGCTTCGTCTTCGGCTTTCGGTTCTCTCTCGGCTTCGGCTTATGTAATGCGAGCGCCACTCGGCAAGCCGTTGGCGCCGCCGCTGGCGTCGTCGTCGTTGGCATCGTTGGCGTTGACGTCGTTGCTAAGCATATTGCGCTGCCCATGAGTCACACTCGCATTGGCTCAGGGCCAAAGCCGTTGGCAAACCCCCTCCGCCCCTTCGCTTTTGCTCTTTTGGCGTTGCGGCTGCGCCGTTTGTTGTGGTTTCGCTGCGCGTCTGCGCCGTTTGTTGTTGTTTTCTTTACTTTATTATTTCTTTTCTTTCTACTTTTTTTTTGCTAAAGCCGGCTTGGAGTTTACTCTGCTGTTGTTGTTTTTCTCTTTTATTGTTGGTGTTGGCATTTTGGTGTTGACTTTGCGGCAGCGTCGTTTAATATACATATGTATGTACATATATAAATATATCTGTGTATGTATATATATATATACATGTATGTGCATGTACGTACATACACATGCGTATATGTATGTTAACGTATACATACATATGTAAAATATGAATATTCGCCGTTTCTTTTTGGGTTCGTCACACTGAGTCGCTGTTGCCTTGCAGCCTTTTTAGCATAGGCTCAAAATGGGCACAAAGAAACGCGTGGCATTCACAGTAATTAGTGCAACAGATTTACGATGCTCTTAAATGGTTGGCTCTCTTAAGTTCTAAACTCAATTAGGTGCACTGTTAGAAGAGTGCTTTTATCGGCATATACACTTATGCAACTGTAAGCTCGGTTTGCAATACGCAGCAATTCCACTTTTCCAATTCCTCCGCTGCATTTGTTATTTGTAGGAACAGTTAACAATTGAAATTCCTTTAAGTTTATTCAATTACTCATGTATTTAAATAATGTATGTCCATACATATGTGCGTGTATTTGCTTGCGTATGTATGTGTATGCGTACCGTGTAGTGTGTGTTTTCTATGTACTCATAAGCCAAACATCTCATGTAAGATCTATTTGCTCTTCACACGACGACAATTGTCAACTACACAGCGAGAATTCGTACTGTCTATAATCAATGCTTCAGCACTGAGAGAAAATATGTATATAGTCATCGATTGAAATGACTTCAAACATGGGTTGTCCAATGAAATAAAAACTATTCATATAGTAGTTAGTATTCGAATGTGAAGAATTTGTATTTTTTTTTTCGGTTTTTCTTCACCATATTTTCGTTCAGTGTGGCTTGTTGTTATTGGTGGATTGTTTTGGCTCTGAGCTGATGTTTTCGTTTGCACAATCTCGCCTTTTGGTTTCTGTTATTCTTTCTTCCTCTGTGCCTGTTTCTTCTTCTTCTTCTTCTTCTTTTAGTGCATGTGTGTGTGTGCGAGTGTTTTTTCAGCGTTTTCTGTGGCTTTTTGTTGTCTTAGCACTTCTCCGGCATTTCAACTTCGTCTCATTCCACGTTCCTCATTTGCATATTTCTAGAGATTTGCTAAGATTTCGCCTGGGATCAGAATTGGATAGCTAAACTGATCCCAAGCGAAACAGATGCCTATAAGCTGCTGATCCCAGTTACTACTCACAGCTGGGTTGGGGGTGACAAGCGAGAAAACTGACGCACACACGCACGCAAGCATATGAAACAGTACACACATACATATATATATATATACATGTGTACGTCTGTATATGTATGTGTATTAACGCATGTGCATACAAAGGAACTAAGCCAAACCAAAACAACAAAATGTACGACAAATGCTGCTCAATCATAATTGAAAGCAACAACAATAACAACAGCAGCAGCAGCAGACGAAAAACAACAAAACACAGAGACAGAAAAAACAGCAGATGCACAACGCACAAAAATGCCAACACACGCACACACACACAAGGGGCAGGAATTGAATTTTAAAGGAATTCAATTTGAAATGCAAACAATGCAACAGCCACACACAAGCGCACACACACACACTCACACGTACGCTAAACATGCCAACGCATTGCGCGCCAACTGCAACAAAATGGCAATGAAACGTCGGTGTGAGAGCAACAACTGCCAAGTGAGCAATGCACACGAACAAAAGAGCGCTGAGCAGAGGGAGAGAGCGTGCGTAAATGTGGGGTGTTGTGTAAAATGGCTGGCTAAAAATTGTGCAGTCGCTGTCGCTGCTGTCTACGTCGCTGTCACCGTCGCCGTCGCTGTCGTCGCCGTCGTCGTCGTCGTCGTCGCAGACGTCGCTGACGTTGTCTGCATGAACAGGCATGCTGCCCCGCTGCTTGCGAGCCCGTTGTGCGTGTCTAATTTGCAGTGCTTGTTGTTGTAATTGTTGCTGGCATTTTGCAAATGCAATGCATGTGCAACACGTGTGACACACACACACGCA